TTATCTTTCTATTTGGGTCTTTCTAAGTAAGTTCCGGTTTTTTAGTTTACAAATTTATATAATCACAAAGACTTATTTTGGGTTTGCACTATCTGATTCCAGTTTGCATTTCTCTATATAACTCCAATATTGCACAGATGCCTTATAATCTGCCAGTCATCTGATGTAACTATGTTGCAGATACTAATTCTAACTGATCAACAAAATGCTGTTGCCATAATACTGCTTATCTTTCATAATACTGATATAACAGCTGGTTTTTTAAATTTTCATTATTGATAGGTTTTGAACTCTCAAGCTACTAATTGGGAGATTGACAACTTAACTACTTCACTAAGTTGCCACATTTACAACTTCTTCTTAATCTATAAATATTAACTTTTTAATTACAAAATGATTCCTACAGAGTCACTCTTTAACAACTTGTATAATTTAATGTTCAGACAATTACTCAAAGATTTTCTTCAGCCTATTTTAGCTAGAATCTAATTTGAAATAGTTAGCTATTGCACTTATAGAAAATAAGAAGTATAATATTATATTGAGTACCTATTTGTAGCACAAATGTAGTTTAGAAATCTTTAAATCTAGAACTTATAATTTTATATGTAACAAAATTTCTATTTGAATATTATTTTAAATAAAAAAAATTTTAGTATTATTTGTAATTTAAATTTTAATTTTGCAAAAAATTTTTTTAATATTATATAATTTAGTTATAAAATAACAAAGTTATTAATTTTACAAAATTTATTTTAAAACTTAGTTATTGATTACTAAACTATAAAATTTAGTAATATAAAGTTTATTTATTTATTTTTTTTAAATATTAAGGTGAATACTTGTGACTTAGAATTTTATTAATAGTATATTTGGCTAATGGTTGCATTACAACTACAGGGGGCAACTATAGAAAGAGTATACAACTAACCACTTGTATAACTTTAGTTATTGTCTAATTTAAGTAGTCTGCCTAAAGGTTCTACACTAGCTGTTATACCTAAAACCTACTTGTAGGTTCTTTATTTAACCATTCTGTTTCTATATCCACCCACTTACTTCTGTCTACCAACGATCCTGGCTGATGTTAATAAAAATATGCCATGACTACTAAGTCTTTAAAGCAGTTCACTCATATAAAAAATCTTTTACCTTGTACTAAACCTTTCAGAATCTTCTGTATTACATTCTTATAGCTGACCTAGTTATAAAGTTTTTTTTTAATTAACTTATATTTATAATAGTTATAGTAATTTTAGATATACCAAATTAAATTCTACTTAATATTAGGAACTTAGAGCATCTATACAAAATATAATATTATACATATATAGAAAAATGTTAAAAGCAGTATTGTATAAGACTTTAGTACAAATCAAAAATAAGACCACTAGATATAAAAAACTAAAAAAAATTAAAAAGATAAAAATTTACTTAAAAATTCTAAGTAAAGGGATAATACAAACTTTTGATAATACTATTAAACTAATAAAATACTTTCAAAGAGATAAGTAAATAAATCAAATAACAGATATATAAAAGAAGCATATATATTAACTAGGCTATTAGAATTACTAAAAAAAAAGAATATATAAATATATTATACTAAATTATTCAAATTAATAGTTTAAGAAGTTCTAACAGATCTAAGTAGTAGTTAGTAGAAGATAATAAAAAAGATGTTGAAAAGATGGATACTAGAGTTTGAGTAAGCTTTACAAGAAGCAGTCTACTTAAATTAGACAATAACTAAAGTTGTATAAGTAACTAATTGTACACTTTTTTTATAGTTGCTTTTATAGTTATTGTATAAACAGCTATTAGCTGAAACATACTATTAATAAATTTCTAAGTTGCAAGTACTCATTTTAATATTAAAAAAAAAACTATTTTAATTATATTTGCTTTTTAGTATTTTATAAATTAGATTTTATTAACAATAATTTTATTAAATATAAAATTAAAAATATTTTTTACTACAGGCTGCAAATTTTAAAATATTTTAGCAAAAACTTAGTTTAACTAGTTATTAAAAGAATAGTAAATTTATTTGTTTGCTTATATATTTTATATATTTGCTTATATTTTTATAACCAATTTAGATTTGTATACAAAGTTAGATAATTTTATATTTTTTGTAAAAATTTTTAACTTTAGAAAGAAGTTTATATATTATATATATATTGTTAAATTGAAAATTGTAATTATATTTTCTAAGCAAATAAATTGTGTTTTATGTTTTTTTTTATAAAAATTTTTGTTAGGATTTTGCATATTGTTTTCTACAGTTGTTTTGTTATTTAATATTTGTTTTTTTAAAATTTTTTGACAAAGTAATTATTACTTATTACTATTATTTTACTATTTATTATAGTTAATAAAATTCTATTTATTTTAATATTAAATAATAATAATATTTTAAACATAAAGAATGTAATATAGACGTTTTAAAAAAATATAATATAGAAACCTATAGCATTTTATATGCAATAACTGCATAATAATTCCATAGTTAGACTAATAGTAAATATGCATACTATAATTATTATGCGGTTACTACATATTATGATAATTAGGTTCTGTACACTCAAGTATTCTGACGCGGAGGTATTTTGGCGCACTTAATTTTTTATGGTACCTTGCGATACACTGACCAGAATTAGTACCATTCGTCTTACTGAGACGAATCGAATGATACAAAAATTAATCAATTCCGATCATGACTTGAAGGAAGGTTAGACATTATTGTGTAATTCTTATGTCATTTTTTCCTATCTGAGCAATTTCGAGAAAAAAAAGATCAGCAAAGTACAATATAAAGAGTTATCTGCATATACTTAACACAATACTGAATATCGATATACATAATGCGTCAAAATACCCCAACTAAAAAAAAAGCCTAAGTTTTAGATAGATTCTTGAGGATTTGGATCGCAAGGATTTTTTTTAAACTTAGAGGTTTTTTTTTTGACTTTTCGATAGATATTAAGTCGAAGATTAGTTTAATTCAATAAATATTAGAATAATATATTTCTTGGAGACTTTTATTATTAGCACTCCTAGGTGCGTCAGAATACCCGACTTTTCCTTATAGTGCTACACAAAATTTTATTAAAGAATTTTTTAAATAATGTTTACCATATAAATTTGACCGCTTTACAGATTAAAAGACAGCTATATATGTAACTAGTTTTGTTTTTAATAAAATTTACAAATTAATACTAAAATAGAATGAGTTTACTATGCTAATTTTTTTTATTACAAAATATAGTATGAAATAATAGTCTAAGCAAGTCTCTTTGTTTTAATGTTTTGTATTTTATTATACTAGAAATTTAATGTAATCAATATACGAAACAAATAAGAAAATTCTGCATGGTTTGAAGCTTTAAAAGATTGCATTTATGCGCCAATAAAAAAAAAGGATTATTGCAGAAGTTTAGTGTAGATATGTTTATTTTATCTGCACGATATCCATTAATTTGATTAAGACGTACATATGACTAATAAATTGTAAATGACAAAGTGTAAACTTCATTATAATTAACTTACTAATAACATTAATTAATAGAATTTACGTATTGCTAATCTAAAATCGGATAATATAAATTAATTATGCTAATAATTCTGGCTATTTACAGTATGTAAAAAAACAAAAGGCATTAACTTAGGCCAATTTCAGCATCATACAGTATCAACTACGATAATCATTAACGTATGGCGGTATCGATAAACAGCCACTGTTCTATAATTACACTCAGATATCGATATGGTGATTTTTTTTTTTTTTTTTTTAAAAAAAAAAAAATCCTATAACGATAGGAGATTGTGAAAGTATAGAGGTGTTTATTTCTATATATAATTTTTTTCAAAAATAGGTTCAAGTTTTGTACGATGTGCTTATACGATGTGCTTATACGATGTGCTTACAACAAATGTGCTTATAGAAAAAGTGACAATAGAAGAGAGTAATATGATATACAATTAATCTGAAATACAAAGATAAACCAACCCTTGCTTTTATAACCAGCGACCTTATTTGTTATTGTATAAATTTGCCGTACTATTTAATGATAGTAAATTATTATAATGATTAGCATACGAATACAGGTTTATTTATTTGTTTCCTTCTTGTAGTAAAAAGTTAATGGCAAAAGAGAATTTGATCGACTCGGCTTACAGCGAAGTGTTAATGATAATTGTAATTATTAAGTATAGTACGTATTACAGTATTACAAATTATGTATAATATTACTTTATATATGAATTTGGATGTGGCAATAGATTTTTTTAAAAAAAAGATATACCTAAAAAATGTAAATGATGTAAAATGACGTAATTACAGGGGAATGACTAAATAAGTGAAATGTCACATTAAAGTTATCAATTATAGGGAATCATCGTTATCAATTATATAATAATTTGTGTTCTGATAAAAAGAATTCGGAAATATCACAGATAAGATGGTCCGATTTGTATTGTTTCATCCGCTCTGCAGATCTTACATGTACATTTATATTGCAGTATTGCGTTATCAGAAATTCGACTTTTTATTAAATGCTAATATATATAAATATATAGCACATATCTAATATTTTGAAACTTGTTCAACAGGGTTCTCCTAAACGTCACAGATTTTCAAGATATACATCAAGATATACAAATTACTATTAGGGTTTTCATTCATAGGACCGAGAAAGGAATAAACAATTTCCCGCATGGAAAATATAGATCACATTGTGTTAAAAAAAAAGTATATAAGCTAAAGTGATTTGTATTGTAAATGTAGGACTAAATAGCTAGAAAGTACGTACGCGTAAATTATAATTTTTAAAATATAATTCGATTATGCACACTTTCTCCGGTGGTCGTACCTTTTGAATCAATACATTTACCACCTTTTAATCAGTATAAATATCGGTACCTTCTGCCAAAAATTGGTCATTTGAAATTGTTTAAAAAATTTCAACTTTGTTAGAGTAAATATTAGAGTAAATACCATGGCTTCTAATTTATCATTGGAATTTCTGGCAAATGCTCTAATGAATAGCCTCGATCGTGGAAAAATCTTTCCTCCTCGATTGAATAATCCTGAAGAGTTGTTATCAGCTCATTGTAATCGAATTAGCCCACCTACACGGCCTCCTAATGGCTTTCTTTTGTGCAGGAAAAACGTCCATTTCGAAGCAAAACAACAAGGACATTGCAATATGCGTGTGATTTCCAAAGTGACCGGGATACTCTGGAGAACAGCATCTGCTGAAGAGAAAGAGGCTTATGAACAATTAGGTATTATTAATAATGAAAGAGGGACAAAATTAGATATTCACACTTTTTTTACTAATAATAATTTTTTTTTTTTATTACATAATATTAGCTCAGGCAGTTAACATGGTTTATGCGCAACGGTATCATCTCTATAATAATAATTATTACATGCGTAACATGCAAAACTCTTATGTGCCAATGGGTTTCTTTCCTCTTCAACATGTTGATTGTCCAACTAATGTTCCCATTTATCCGGATTTGGATTCATCCATGTTTGTTAATCTGCAACCAGAATATTTTCCGTATGAATTAGAGATGAATGGAAGCCAAGGATTAATTTATTATACTCAACCGAGAATTTAATAATTATATGAATTAATCCAAATGCAGATGTGATATATTTGAACAATATATATCTTTTTTTCGGCAACAAATATGATTCGTGTTTTAATTTTTATGCTTTTAAGAGTTAAGAACAATTATATGCATGTCGTTTACAGATTTATGCATCCTAAGCAGTACTTATAAGATTATTTGGTGCGGCTGCATCCTGATTATGTAAAAAAGAAATATTATCTTCTTTTTATAGCCTAATTATTGAAGATAAGCACCATCATGGAAGGTAGCATTATAAGAATAATCGATACGTATACATATGTATATAGTATTAAGAATAATGATATAAGTATATAATATTAAGAATAATAATGCGTATAAGTATATAGTATTAAAAATCAATTTTTATAATTTATTGTGTTGCGTAATTCCTGTAGATTTATACCTGCCGATCAGGATAAATCATTTTACAAATTAATATTATTAGATAAAATAAAAGTTATAACTTACCATTTTGAAGAGAGTACCGAAGCAATTTATAGTTCCTATCAAACTATATAATACGATACTGTAATATTATGTAAAATGACTCATATAATAAGACTTAGTGGTGGAACCTTTTGGATTATTAATGTAATGAAAAATAATTAACAATTATTAATATAAGTTATTTAATGCGTTATAGATGAATTGTAGACAGTTATCGGATCTTTAACGATTAGAAACTATTAATAACCTTAATAACTAATTTTAATTATTTTTAAAAATTCAGAAGTCACATCATTAATAAGACTTAAAGCTTGTTAATGATCTTTAACATATTAGATAAGCTATTCACGACAGATTTAACATTCAGCACTCATTGAGATTCTTTCATTCAAGCCAGGATTAGATGGATCAATAGTTTGACGTATTAAATCTTATGAGAGAACCGTTATTCAAAGTTTTGATTTAGATAATATGATTTTCACGATAAGTAAATGTGAAGTTTTAAATATTGCGAATGTTATGGTGTTCAAAATTATGGTATCTTGTAGCGCGTCCTTTTCGGTAAACGAAATTTATTTTGTGTAATTTCGGTGCAATAAACCCAATTTATACGAACGATTCCTGTGTAACTTATTCGGCACCTCCTAATACAAATACATAAATTTCCATCACCTCTTGAGATGAGTGAAAACTTGTGTATCTGTATCAGAAGGAGGCCGAATAATTTACACAGAACATGTCGGATAATTTAGTTATCAGTCGAGTTTTAGTAATTGAACAATCAGTATTATGATTTACATAAAATGTTACACAAAGGTTGTTCCGATAATTTTGAACTTAAAAATTAACAATGTCTATCTAAAATTTTAATGATACATAAATTTGTCAACAATGTGATTGACGATTATCTTGATAAGTGGCTGTGTTTTTTCTTACAAATAAAGAACAAAAAAAAAAGTGAGATTTATAGTTCATCACCAGTGCGATACAATCACCTGATCAACCAGTGGGTGTGAAGTAAAGAACGAATCGATAACAAACTTTTTAAAAACCCGCTTATAATTCAGAATTTTGTCCCGAAACTGTTCTTTTCGTCTTAACAAAACAAGTTCTTGCAAAATTTCTGATTAGGAGGTCTTTTAACCTCTGGTTCACCCGAACTTTAGTCCAACTGCTGTTTGATTTTTTTCTTAAAAAAAACCTTGATTTAACTAATAGTAATGCCTCGCACTGGCAATTTTCTAAAAATAAATAAATCAAATAAATAAATCCGGGATGATCGCACATCACGTTGACTACGAAGCATCACAAAGTACCAACCTTTTTGCGTAATAGTCGATTCAAAATAATAAATACCGTGAAAAGTGTGCTTTCTAACCATAATAGATCTACCACGTAAATAAATGCTATATTAGGCAAAAAATATTTTATTAATAAGCCAAATTAGCTACGAAATTTATTGATGTATTAAATTGGTTTTCCCCATATTCATTCTTTTTTGTTATGTTTGACCGAAAATGTTTATTAGCCTCACGTGATTCTAACCAAATTGGTTAAAATTACGATCACTAGTGCTAAAAAAAAAGAAAAAGAAAAAAAGTTAGTAATCCTTATTATTTATTGTATACTACACTGCATTTTCATGCGATAAATCAGGTTGAGACTGATTACTGGAAAAACCAAATTTCTAATCGGTGTAGCCAACGTGTGACTCAAAGCGCGTGCATGTATTTATAGCATTCAACGTATCGAGTATGGAGAAACGATTGGTTCATTAAAATTTATGCTGCATAGTATATCAAAAAAAAAAAAAAAAACCTAACTATACGATATTGTATTTTATTTCCAAATTCATCATCTTCGTACTGTTCAGTCCAGGAGACGTTACATTTGGTCATTTCTTTGTTATCTTTACCAGGAAATTTCAAATAATTTCATTTAAATAACACGTTTATAACCACCTGCATAGTTATTGAATTTTACATTCATGTAATGTTGGTATACACCAATTTTGAAGTTGTCGATATGCAATTACTAATACTGATACACTTCTAGGAATTGAAAGAAATTACATATACATTCTTCAAAAATGTTCGTCTTCAAAAATGAGTACATTTCTTTAAATGGATTAGCACTCAATCTATTCGTTATTAAGCAATCTAAAAAAAAGAAAAAAACGCCAAAACTGAACTTACGCGCATTGTATGAGACAAAGTTCAAGAGGTAAGTTGGATATTTTAGCAATGCAGCCATTCTGAATTAGTCCAAAATAGTATTCCTTTAATATCTCTTTAAAAAAAAAGTTTTCAAGTGATTTGATTCGATTAAACTTTAAAGTTTACCTATAATTTGATAGATTTGGGATATGCTTTAGCCATGTACAACTTTTGTACTCCCTTGAATGAGAGATTTCAATCAATTTTGGTTGACCTTAAGGATGTTACGCACTTATTTTTTTTATTTTATTTTTTTCTTTCTAATTCTAAGCCGATTGAATAAATTACCAATAGCACTATTTTCCCGACCTGTTTACTGACAATCTAGATAATATTCATCAATATTATGCAAGCCAAGATATAGCCCAAATGATTTATTTTATTATTTTCATAATAACGAGATTTTTTAAAACTTTTTTCTTTTAAAATATAAAATACCGAAATAATTTTATATTCGAATCTTCTTCATGCAGACATCGAATCTCTCTACCTATTATTACTCATCGTAACCGATTTCCTCACTGAACAAATCACATGATCACATTTTTTTTAACACAGAATAAGATAATCATTTTATACTACCGTTATGTAAGATTATATAATACTAGTATAATATATACTAGTCTTTGTTAAAAAAAATAAAAAAATACAAAATACTCAATACTGTAACGTCAAATCAAAAAAGTTAAACAGAACAAGTTTATATAATATTATATATTTAAGTTGCTTGTTTACAAAAATTTTAATATTCTAAAAATTTATAAATATATTTCGATATACTAGATATATATGTCCAACAAAAAAATTAACCATAAGGTCATACTGTAACCTGTCAGAGTTCTTAATTTTTTTTAATTATGTATAATGTAGAAAAGTCCTGACTTTATACAGTGATAAATTAATTATATTTTTTATGTTCACCTTGTCCTAATTAATTAGTACGTACGTAATCTGATGTCTAAATTAATTGGTAATTTTGATGACGTACATTAAGAACTAGAGGTAGGTTAGACTAGTGATAGAGCTACTGTACAGCGTGGACTAAAGTACTTAGTTGATGAGATTTTTTTTACATAATAGAAATTTATAAATCACATGCATATATAATAATATTTTAAAACCCAATTTACGCTATTTGTCGCAACGGGTACTTTAGTCCACGCTGTACGATAACCGGGGTTAAAAAAGGAAGCTGTTTAATTGCTTCGTATCGAAAAATCAATTTTATGTACCATTATACGTGATAATTAAATTATCTCATTGGTTAATCATCACTAGGTTAGATAAATAGTTACTTGATTTGCACGAGAAGGAAATAACGATAAATCATTTACCGGCCAAGACAACACTGTATCTTATTTAAAAGCCATATTACCAAAGATCTGAGGTATAAGCAATTATTATTATTATTACTATTATTATTTTGTAGCCTGATTCAAAATATATATTACTATTTTTAATACATATTATTAGTTCTTTAAACGCGCCTTCTAAGAACAGAGAATACTTGGGTAATAATTATTTCACGAATGAAGCTGAAATTTAAACATATTTTGATATGAAATTTTAAAAAATATTTTGGGGTGTTTTTTATCGCCTTTTTTTAAGGTTAGGGTATGATTTAAGGTTAGAATTTATAATTAAAAAGCATATGTGGATTTTAACAGGTTTATATTTTAAGATCGGGACCTCAGATTTCAGCATCATACGATTTCACGATCATCTATATTAAATGAATGTAGGTGAAATGAATATCATCCCTTGTAGGATTCTTTATAGGTTCCTTTATAGGTTTCTTTATAGGTTCCTTTATAGAATCTCTTAAAGAATCTCTTATAGAATTATTCTATACATAAATGCAATGTCAACCTTAAGAAGGTGCATTTAGAGTAATATCTGCTACTAACTCTGATGCCTGTCCGTTTTAAAAGCGCCGATTACACTACATAACTTAATATTGATAACATTAATAACGGTTTTATTGCTAAAGTTGATAACAATAAAAACGAAAAAAAAAAACAGTACATAAAATATAATTAAAAATGTAATAAGAAACAAGTAAAAATAAAATTTTAAGAATCTTGAGTTATCTGACTTTTACATGTGAACTTTAACGGGGCTAATGATATTGATTATCTTTATTAAAGATGAATTGCGTTATCTTATTAGATCTTGACCGAATTTAAACTACACGTATTAATAATAATTACTAAGAATATTTTGTTTGTATATCATGAGCTTACTAAATAAGAACTCGTTTGGTTAGCTTAAATTTATTTTATTAATATCGGATAACTCAGTGACAACAGTATAGTTATTAGT